AAAAAAAAAAAAAGAAGCCCAAAAAGTTATTTCCTGCAGCTAACCTAAATCTTGGCTGCATTTCTAGGCCTCTTATCTGTATAATAACTTCACTGATGACTTTCAGAGTTTGCTTTCTTCACCTGAATGTTCTGGGTTTATTTCTTCATTCAACAAAAATTAATTCAGCACCTCCTACTTGCTAGGTCTTTCAGTAGCTGTTGGGGAGATGAGCAAAATGGACACTATCCTTGGCCTTTGGAGCTTATAGCCTTTTAAGGGAGTCAGACAGTTAAATTTGCAATGTTGGCCAGGTATAGTGGTTCATGCCTGTAATCCCAGCACTTGGGAGGCTGAGGCAGGGGGATCCCTTGAGCCCAGGGATTTGAGATGAACCTAGGCAACACAGCCCCATCTCTACAAAAAATAAAATAAATAGCTGGGCGTGGTGGTGCATGCCTGTAATCCCAGCTACTCAGGAGGCTGAGGCAAGAGAATTGCTTTAGCCCGGGAGGTTGAGAGTGCAGTGAGTGGTGTTTGTACCACTGCTTTCCAGCGTATAGGAAGACATTGAGACTCCATCAGAAGGAAGGGAGGAAGGGAGGAAGGAAGGAAGGAAGGGAGAGAGGGAGGAAGGGAGGAAGGAAGGGAGGGCAGGAAAGGAGGACTAGCTTTCAGCCTTAGGATAAGTAGCAGTTAGTCCAGGGATGGAGAAGGAAGGGTGGGGAGCAAAGACCCTGGCAAAGAGACCAGCATATGTGGGGCTGAAGGCAAAAGAACAGAGAATGCTTGACAAACTGAGTGAAAATCCATACAGTCGGGCATTGTGCCTCACAAACCTTTCTGTCATTTCTACAGTTCTCCCCAGAAACCCTCAAAACTCACCTATGACTCTCTAGGCTCCCTGGAGCCCAGAGCAAGACAAAGAACTTTTGTTTGATCACCTGAGATACAATGAGAATGACCCCCAGGTACCTTATTTGTGTATCCGGCATGTAGCTTACATTTGTGAGAATAGCACTGTATTACTGCTGACTCACAGTCAGCCACACATTTTACAACAATCCCACAGTGTCTGCCCTGGATTTTCTTTCTGCGTAACTTCCCTTTCAGCTTTCTTTTAAAAAGCCTTGCCTCTGTGCTCTGTTTTTACTTATCTCTTTCTTTGAAATGGATCATGTCTAGAATTTGTGGGTTTCCGGGAAATCTGCCAATCCCAAGGGTCCTTCTCCAATGAAATGCAGTTCAAACTGAGATTTGGAGTTGAAAGCTGATAAGTCTAAATGCCCACATCTTAGAGCATCTAACCAATCTGTCTGCCCATCAGGGCGACTGATCCCATCCCTGCCTTATTTGCTGCTGTGAGGGTGAGGGCAGGGGGTTGAGAAGGATGGAAGCAGTGTTAGCGCCAGACAGTGATGTGCCAGGCAGAATAGAATCTCTGCAGAGCATCTCCTGGAAGGGAGGGCAGGGGGAGGGGGCAGATGCTGACAGGCTCGTGGGAGCCATGCCAACAGATGGGTCTGCCTGGGTCCCCGACTAAACTAACTCTTCCCAAGCCAATCAGGCTGCAGGGCCAGAGCCCCACTATTCTTCCCTGGGATCCCAAGTGAAGCAATGGGGGTTATGCAGGAATTCATGGGTCAATGCTAGTTTGGTAGGTGGGGGTGGGGAGGTCGGGAAGGGGCAGGAACCGGGGTGGGTTTGCTTGGACTCGCTCATGGGAGCTGAGCCAGCCCCAGCAGGGAAGAAGGGTCGCTTTGGCATGCATTCTCCTGCAGTTACCAGGCCTCACTGCCTGCCAGGCTGATGGTGCATAGGGCCCAGCCCCCTCCCCAAACAGCCCCTGAGAGGGGCCGGGAATGGGGGGAAGGCCACCCGTGGCCTTGTGAGGCTGAAGCACAAGCTCCTTCCTCAGCTGCCAGGGAAGAATTTAATTACCAATTAAAGCCCCCTCCATCTGTTTCGGGCCTGCCAGAGAGCTCTCTCTACCCTTTAATTACATCTCTGACAACAATTTAACTCAATTAGCTGGTAAACACAGCAGAATGCAGGCAACCCAGGGCACCCTCTTGTCCCTGCCATCTGTCTGTCCGTCTTGTGCTTTCCCAACTCGCTCTCAGTCTGTCTGTCCTGCCCCTGCTTCCATGTATCATATTGGCACCGCCCCCACCCCATGGTTTTCTCTTTTCCTTCTGTCTTCTCCTGCACCTCTTGTCTGTTTCACACCAGCTGGGTTCCCACCACCCCCCCAACCCCCGCCGCCTTTGTCATTCTGTCTTCCTCTCCCATCTGCTGTTTGTCCGTCCCTTTCCCGTGCTTTGTCTTGTTCTGTGCATCCCAACTTTCTCTCTTTCCCTGCCAGGCCAGTCTCCAACGAGCCCTTTCCTTCCTCTTTCCTTCTCCCCATCTTCCTCCTTCTCTGCCATCTGGCCTGCATTAACCAGATCCATCCCTTTCAGCGTCTCTTCTGTGAGACTCCTTTCTGGTGTGTCCCCTTAACCCCGTCACCTCCTTTTACTTCATCCACTTAGCACAAACAAAGGTGAGCCCTAGCAGCAATAGTTGCCATCTTTTGAGCACTTACTTTGCCAGTCACTTGCTAAGAGCTTGACATGCACTATTTCATTGAATATTTACAAAAATTCTGTGAATAGGTATAATTTTTCCCATTTCACACGTGGAATAATGGATCCTCTGAGAGATTTTGCCACTTGTCCAAGGTCACAGCGTTTGCAACTGATAGAATCTGGATTCAAAGCCAGGTCCGTTTCCTTCAATACTGAATGAGATTCCTGAGGCTGGACACAGTAGCTCATGCCTGTAATCCCAGCATTTTGGGAGGCCAAGGCGGGCAGATAGCTTGAGCCCAGGAGTTCAAGACAGAGTGGGCAACATGATGAGACCCTCATCTCTGCAAAAAATACAAAAATTAGGTGAGCATAGTGGGGCATGCCTGTAGTCCCAGCTACTCAAGAGCCTGAGGTGGGAGGATCACTTGAGCCCAGCAGGTCAAGAGGAGCAATTTTATGGATGACAGAGAGACCTGAATATTTGGGGAAAGGCTCTGTGTTGTTGAAATGAAGGACATTGCCAGGCGCGGTGGCTCAAGCCTGTAATCCCAGCACTTTGGGAGGCCGAGGCGGGTGGATCACGAGGTCAAGAGATCGAGACCATCCTGGTCAACATGGTGAAACCCCGTCTCTACTAAAAATACAAAACATTAGCTGGGCATGGTGGCGCGTGCCTGTAATCCTAGCTACTCAGGAGGCTGAGGCAGGAGAATTGCCTGAACCCAGGAGACGGAGGTTGCGGTGAGCCGAGATCGCGCCATTGCACTCCAGCCTGGGTAACAAGAGTGAAATGAAGGACAAAGGCCAGGTGCAGTGGCTCATGCCTGTAATCCCAGCACTTTGGGAGGCCAAGGCGGGTGGATCATGAGGCCAGGAGTTTGAGACCAGCCTATCCAACATAGTGAAACGTCATTTCTACTAAAAATACAAAAATTAGCTGGGTTTAGTGGCATGCGCTTATAGTCCCAGCTACTCGGCAGGCTGAGGCAGGGGAATCGCTTGAACCTGGGAGATGGAGGTTGTAGTGAGCCAAGACCATGCCATTGCACTCCAGCCTGGGTGACAGAGTGATACTCTGTCTCAAAAAAAAAAAAAAGAAGAAATGAAGGACAAAGAGGACAAAGCAATAGGTTCCTAGTTAACATTGGGAGGGAGGTGGGTAGAGAAGGGTAAAAAATAGGGATGATTTCTGAGAATTTAACCTCCTCATTTCTGCTAGAGGGAACCTTCCAGATTCTAGTTTACTACGGTGTTGAAGAAGTTCCCCAGTTCCCTGAGAAAGCAAAAATGTCCAGGATCTAAAGGAATAAAAGAGAGGGAGAGAAA